TTATGCCCAGTTTTTATTCTTATTTTTCCATTTTTTTTTTTTTTTTGTTAACTCCATTTAGCATTTGGTTGTTTTCCTTGCGCCCTGCCCCTCTGTTGCCTTTTGAAAACAACTAAAAGACACAAAAGACCTGACATTTTTCATTTGACTTCTCTCTCAGACCGCTCTCTTGCGCACACATCTCCTCGTACAAAATTTTTAGACTACAATAAATGCTTGTGAATTTATTATTACTGAAGTATGTAAATATTCATTGACTATCTACACGCGCGTTTTCTCTGTCCGTCAAACCTCAAACAGAGCCGCCACCTGCACGCCATACAAAAAAAAAAACAAAAGTGTAGGAATGAAAGAAGCGTAGAAATGCTTGTAAAACTGCCGACAATGTCCTTTATATGTCCTGCGCCTCCTCTTGACACACGCTGCTCTACATATTTAGATAGTAAAAATTGTCATGTATATACATACATACAAAAAAAATATATCAATCCTTATTTATACAGCTACCAGCGCCATCAAAAAATAAATAAAAATAAAAATAAACGTGCCCAGGAATTCGCCACCAACTATATAGGTCCTCTTTAGCTCTGTCATTTGGTTGCTGTTTATATAGAATTCGGTTTTAGGCATTAATTACAAATTCATGTAATTAAATTTTACATTTTATGACAAGCGAAGCACACAAGCGCAAAAATATTTTCGGCAGAAAACAACTAAGCGTATGCTGGGTCATGGTGGCCAGTCGGATTAGTAATGCGAACAGTGGCTCCACTGACCCCTTAAAGTTAAAAATATTCTTAGTAGATGTCTTCTGGTGTGGTTCATTGATAAGGAATGCATAGAAAGCTTAAGTATAGAACATATTCTTAGGATCACCCTAACATTCAAAAATATGATTTTAAGATCTCTTTTACGCAGATAAATGCATCGATAAACATAGCGATAACGATAACAATAAGTATAAATATTAAAAAATATTTCGATAAGCAAAAGTATATCGATAGATGTACCGATATTAAATTGGTTACATAGTTCAAAAAGAACGTTTATTTTATTTCTATTATTTTAAACTTGTTACTTTTACTTTTAAATTAAAAATCAAAAATTTCGTATGCATTTTACCACCAAGAATGTTATTGAAAAAATACTATACATGTAAGATTTTTTTACCTGAATTAAAAATTTTTTGAGGACAGTTTTTATTTTTGTAGGATACCTAAAATTTCTTTTTTTCTTATTTATTCAAAAAAACAGAACTATTAATTTGGCATTTATTTGTTTAAATTTTCTATGTAATAGGAAATCAAGGATTTTTTAACTTGGGATAATTTTTATCAACTTAAAATTTTCTGTTTTTTTTTTTATGAAAATGCGTTATTTTTATTTTTTAAACTTTTTTGGTGAAAATTTTGAATATTAACATTTTTTAATGTGGATTCAAATTTTTATAAAGTTTTCTAATTTTTTATCTAATTTAAAAATAAAAAATTTTCATTTCACCTGTAAATTCTTTTTGTATTAAAGTTTATTTAAAGTTTGTTTTATTTGAACACAAACTTCAAGAGATAAAACAAAATGTAACAGGTTTTAAAATTAAGAAAAAAATAATAATCTAAACACCAAAAAAATTTACAAACTAAAATATATAACGTTTTTTTAGTTTAAATATTTTTAAGTAAATTTAAAAAAAATTTGCTTCCATTTTTTAATTCAAAACTATCCAGTCAGAATACACGCTACTCAAATTGCATTTCTCTCAAAATTAAGTATGTAAAATTTTTCCTTTTTCTTTTTACAAATTAATTTGCACAAAACTTTTGCTCCAAAAATTAATCTGCTATTATTTACCAGAAAGCACAAAATTCATTACTTCAACTTTGATTTCACATTCACTGCATGACAAATTTCAATATTAATTAGTTGCATATTTTCTCAATTAATTTCAATTCAACTCAACCACCTTCGAACTGCTGCTGCCAAACAACGATACGCCCGAACGAACGAATGCGACGAGGAGGCAAGTGCGTTGAGTGCGAGTAATTTCATGCTCAATTACCTGGCGGCAGGCAGGCAGCCCTCCTTGTAAAGCACCTCCTCCCTACATACACAAAACAGACAGACAGCTAGCAGGAAAACTTCACACACACCTCCTCTCTCTTTGATTCATTCACTTTTTATACCTCTCCCGCCGGCCTTGTGTAATAATGACACTAAAGCAATTCGACAAGCGAGGAAATATTAACAACACCGACTTAGTTCAGTTTGTGTGTGTATGTATTTTACATAGGTGCTACTGTGTAGTCATGGTTGGCTGTCTGGTTGACTACTTACACTTTGATTACTTTCATTGCAATAAAAACAAAAACATTCAAAGGAAAAAGTGCATTCCTCATTTTACAAGTTGGTCGTAATGTGGTCCCTTACATAAGTATTCCCCGTTGGTGCCGGTGGGGAGTTGGGAATAGTTGTACTGAGTTACGTGCGCTTGCTAAGTTTGTAGTTTTGTATTAGAGTTATTGTTGTTCTTGTCGCTAGGAGACCTTCCTCGTTTCCTCCCTTCCTCAGACCTAAGTAGCTGCCCTCTTCCATCAACTTGTGTTTGTTATAACAAACGCCTGTCACTGTTAGAAATTTCACTTAACTGCATCTCAATTAGGAGCAGCAGCAGCGCTTGAATGGAGTGGTACTACTTAGCAACTGAATCGGTAACAGAGTGTAGCTGGAGTATGAGCAGCAGCAATTGGTGCATGAAAATTGCATTTAATTACTTTCCTTCCACTCAATTCCCCTTAAGATGTTCTCATACATACTTTCGACTAGTACTTATTTGCCCTTTTTCTTCTCTTTGCTTCCTCTTACTTTGATAAATCATTGACATTCACTTGCAACAGCATTTTAGTTGTTCAACAACATTAAACAGCAATTTTAGTGTAATGATTCACTTTTTAAACCTCCTCCATACCCCTCTGAGCAGAGCACCGTAATTGTCTTGTTGACGTTTAATAAAGAGTGATACGAGGGCATGCGCTCCTGGCTGGTAGTTCCAGTAAATATTTTTGTGAGTTAATGTAGCGTTAGAGAATTTTATAAATTTGGGCGAATAAAATCTGAGTGTAATGTTTCGTACTGCGAGCTATAAATAATTTTAAGTGTATTTTTGCTAGTTAGAATTTATAAAATTGATAAAAGCGGGCGAAGATCTTGGAGTAGGCTACAGCTATTTACTACGAATGAAAGCCTGACTACTCTGATTTATTATTAAATACAAACATATTTCCTAATTTAGAACTTATATTCGATGTTCGAAAATTATCGAAAATATTTTCGAATTTCCAAATTCATGCCTTAGCAAACCAAATTCAAATTAAAGTGGTTTAAAAATTATTTTTTACGGCCATATTATTGACACTCCGAATTTGCCGGAATAAGAATATTTACGGAATAGAGGAGAATTAGTTGGAATAAGTGTATTATTGACGCATAGAATAAAACGGAATAAGGTGTAATAAGAAAGTCAGAATTGTTATTCCGGGGAATAACTAAGCGGGCAGAATCGAGCGAATAAGGCAGTTATTCCATGTTATTCGCTCAAAATTCATTATTGACTTACATCTGCTTTAGAAATACATACAGGTAAGAAATGTAAACTGTTTTTAGTTTGTAATAATCCTTTTTTTTATCCATTTTAGGTGATATAATGGCGCGCCCATCTCGAACCAATGTGGTGATCGGAATTGACCGTGCTCAACGCATTTACGACGAAGACCATAACAATAGACGACCATACATAATGCTAGAACGAAGAAAAATGCACTCGTGGGACGATTTTGACTTTTTTTCTCGATTCCGTATGACAAAGGCAAGATTTGTACACGTGCTACACTTGATTGTGCCTTACATGCCAGAGGTACATCAAAGGTATCAAAAGCTGTATTGAGTTCATATGTATACTGATTTAATATTTTTTATTTGTCCTTTACAGACAACGCTATATCTCACACGAAGTGCAGCTACTATGCACATTGCGTTTCTTGGCTGCTGGTAGCATGCAGTCTATCGTTGGTGATATTATAGGAGTTTCCCAACCAACGATTAGCAACTTGTTGCCAAAAGTGTGCAAAGCAGTTCTCGGACTACTGCCTGACATAGTTAGAATGCCGCGGACACAGGAGGAACTAAAAACGGCGGCTGCCCTTTTCTACATGTTTGGAAATTTGCCAAGAGTCATTGGAGCCATTGACTGTACACACATAAAAATTCAGTCACCGGGAAGCCCAAACGCGGAAATATTCCGAAACAGGAAGGGATATTTTTCTTTGAATGTACAAACCGTTGCAGCAGCTAATCTCAAAATCATGAACATTGTTACACGATGGCAGGGTTCGGCACACGACTCGACTATATTTCGGCAGCAATTCGAAGCGGGCGAATTTCGCCACTACATTTTAGTCGGTGATTCCGGCTATGCCAATTCTCCCTTCCTGGCAACACCATTCGCAGAAAATAGTTCTGAGCTTCGCGCTGGATTACAACACGTACAAGAATATCAGCGGGCAATTATCGCCACCAGGAATTGCGTGGAACGCTCATATGGAGTGCTGAAGCGACGCTTTCCAGCATTGGCCTATGGTTTGCGTGTCAAAACATCGACTGCACAAATGCTTGTTGCGACCGCTGCAGTACTCCACAACATCTGTATTGATGAGAATGAGCAATTACCCAACACCACCTGGCTTCACGAGCAACGAAATAGAGATCAACAGTGGTGCGACAGAAGATACTCCAAATAGTAACTATGGCAGGAATGTACGCAACGAACTCCTCGATATGTTTCGTCGCCAAGTGAACACACACACCAATCACTTGCCTTGATTAGAAAAGGGAGGATAATTTCATTTAATTCATTTATTTTTTGCAATGAATAACATATTTTTGTTTTAAAAACATTAAACAAGAAAAACTAGTTAAATAAAACCTGTACTTATAAAAAAAAAAATAAATAACACACTGTTGCGCGAAACTATACTGAATGTTTTATGTCGTCATAAAAGCTCGAAACTTCAAGCTCCTCCTGGACGATTTTTTCAGATTCTTGTGCATTCATCGGTTTGTGCGTCTTTAAGTATAGGTTGTGACGCTCCTGCGCTTCTTGTTCCCGCTTAGCGAAGTATTGCATTACTTGCTTCTGAGCAGTTTTTTGTAGCATAACCGCTTCCATATTAGCAGTATGTAACTCGATGGCATGGCGCATGTTTGTTGCGTGGAGTTCGCGTGACTGCGTTAATTCAAGATTTATAAGCTGCTGGCGCATTTCATTTTCGGCATTATTTGGGTCACGGAATCTGCGTTTCCGTGCTTGCCGCTGTTGTGCAACTGTTGCAAAATATTGTCGCGGTTCTACTGCCGATGCTTCCTTGGGCAACGGCGAGCTGGTGGAGACGATTAAAGGACTGGAGAAGTTACAGCTGGGAGTCAATATGGTCGATGACGGCTTCGCTGTAGAAGAAACGAATTACTGAAATTACTCGATCCAATTAATATAATATGTACATGTACGTATGTATGCTCCTACAAACATATGTATATTTGTACCTGTGATATTCACAATTTGGACCTCCTCTAACGTCGTGTTTTGAACACCCAATACATCTTTGTTTTGAACATACAATGGGGTATGTGTATCATCCGGCATTTGTGTTTCGGGCAATGCTTCCGTATTCAGCAGTGAGTGCTCTTTGCTGTTTGCCGAACTTCCATAAATTACCATATCGCTGTCAAATTCGGAATGGAGGCCGCAGAAGCGATCACGCAGAATCGCAAGCAATTCTAGCATGGCTCCAGTGAGAGGAACAGTTAAAGACACTGGCATGGGTTTCGCAAGTCCGCCACCAGTTCCCATTGAAACTTGCCGCTGCCATGTCGAATATGTCTGCAAATACTGCTTTATTTGCTTGAACCGATTCTGCAGATGTAGTGGTTCGCGAACAATTCCCTGAAAGAAAAAATATTTAACACCATTTAAAATAAATTTTAAATACAACCGTAGAAGCGCGCTCGGCGTTCAATATATTCGCGATTTTCCGATACTCCTGGGCCCGTTGCTCTGGGGTGCAACCGTTTGTCGCCTGATTTAAAATGCCATCGCGACCGACATCAACAAGTGCGCGCACAAAGCGCAACGTCTCCTCCGCCGACCAATTCACAGATCTCCGTGCTCGAGGAACTCGCGACTTTTTCTTGTCTTTTTCTTTATTTTCGTTCATAGCACACAAAATCGCAAATTAAAATTGTTAACAAAACCACAACACAAAAATAATTAAGCAATTTATTCAAAAATTTTATAATATTTTGACACTCCGAATGTCAATTCCTCTCTTCGGAAAATCTATTGGAATAAATATTTATTCCTCTGCCGGAAAGTTATTCGCCGCTATTCCATAGTGAATAATTGACAAAAAAGTTATTCCGCCGTCGCTCAGAATTGCCCAGAATAACTAAACCGTTGAATACGAAGGAATAACGACAAGTCAATAATATGGCCGTTAATGTTGAAAAAATAATTTTGGGTGCTCGAATATATTTTCGTTTTTTCAAATTTACGCCTCTACAAACCAAATTCAAATCAAAGTGATTTTGAAACAAATTCGATGTTCGAAAAATTTCGAAAATGTCTGCGATTTCGAAAATGACGTCTTCACACATCATGTTCATATTCTCGATGTTCGAAAAATGTTGATTATGTAAACGAATTTAAAAAAAAAATTTTATTGCAAATTAACTTTTTTTGAAGAAAATGAGAAAAATAAAAAATAAAATGACATTACTATTAATTAATTAAAATAAATCATAAAAAGTTTAAAAAATAATCTACAAAACATTTAAGTCTGATCTCCTTATCAAAACTTGCATGGCATATTTTATAAACAAAGATTTATGATAATATATACAACTTTTAAAATTTATACAGTGTCATGCCTAAGGGACTTGGATGCGCCTCACAATCTTTCCTATTGTAATTGAACTCTTTTGTGTACCTGTGTAAATATGTGTGTTTATGTATATAAAAAACACGTTTAAAAGCCCTCTTGCGCATCCTGCCATTTATCGGCTGCGTCCTTGCCATATACATATCCTTATACCTGTCGCTGCACTTTGGGTTTCACTGACATGCCAGCAATAAATGGTGTCATTTATTGCCAACAATTAAAAGTACAATTTTGCCAATAAATGTGACAATACTTTTCCCTCAGCTCTTTATTTTTATTTTATTTTCTCTTTTCATCATTGTTCATGTTCAGTTTACTGCTGCCAGTTGGCATATGACCAATAGAGGCAGCCAAAGAGTAGCTGGCATGAATTGAGTGATTGGTACGTGGCATATATTTGAAGATTAGCTACTGGCCAATGTACGTACTTTATATAGTTAATGTGAGTTTTCTGTTTTCATGTTTTCGTTCAAAATTCATTCACTCATTCACTCGTCCACTTACTTACTGACACTCTCATACACTCACTCGCTCATTCACTCACTCACTCACTTACTACTCACAAACTCACTTTCTCATTAAAATCCCTAGTCTCATTCATTGACCCATTCACTTACTCACTCTTCAATATACTCACTTACTCATTGACTTACTCATAAACGCACTCACTCACTCACAGTCTTAGGCTCATATTGGTTTTTAATCCAAATTAAAATCCTTTTAGTTTTTTGCTCGTTTACTACATTCACTCACTTATCATCCCTCTCATGCACTACAGCCCTCACTTCTGCCTGATTTACCGACCCCTTCATCTCACTCTTCACATCTCAATATATCTGATTTATAGTTGCCTGTCATGCAATTAAAATTGCTGTTGATTTGCCACAATCGTTTTTCACTGCCTCACAAAAAAACGAAACAAAGTTATTAAATAAATGAAATAAGCGCTTTGTTAAATATTGATAGAGCCATCTATCTGTCGAGCAACATGTGCCGTATATTAATGTTTGCGATAACTCTTTCACCAGCAATGAATTTTTTATGACTCACTTTAATAGCGACAATATTAACGCTATTAGTTTTGCGATGTTTGCCTCGGGAATTTCTGTGGAAGTGCATGTGAATGCGAGTACTTAGTTACAGTGAAGAGAAAAATTAGTGAAAGTATTTTTGAAGAGAGAAAAAAAAAATTAAACAAACAATTTAGAAAACAAATTTCGAATTGGCCTAGGTTTAGTCGAGGTTATTATTTCTTATCAAAAAATATTTTTTATTTTTTTGGAAAAATCGTTCCATTTAAATTGCTGGTGAAACCGGTTGTAATAGACTTTTTTTAAAGAATACAATTTTGGTACATAAAACTAGTAATTTAAAAAATCTGGGCCCATTCCTTAGGCGCACTCATAACTTTGACAACTTTATGAATATTGAACCACAATTTTCAGAGGAGGGTGTCGATACATGCACAATCGCTGGAGATAATATTCGAAATTCTAGCCAAATGCGACTTTAACCCTTTCTTAAATTAAATTACAAACAATTTTGAAAAACCTCTGTTTTATTTTTTTTTTCGAAATTCAGGGGAAACATTTCGGCGTTAAAAAAATAGAGCTAAATAGAGAAAATAAAGCAGCCTGCAACTATTAATTTATACTGAGTTTAGCCAACAAAGCTTTCCGAAATCATGTTTCGAAAGTTTTCGACCTATGAAAATTTAAGGAAATTATTTACGAAATCAAAGAAATGGTTTTAGACCACCTCAAATGACTATGGAAGCAATTTGCTGATACCGTCTTTTATCATAAAAAATTGTTTTAAAAAAACTTTTTCGTAAAATTTTAAGTTTTGAAAATTGCAGGCCAAATATTTTCGAAATCGCAAAAGTGGTTTTAAATGTCCTGACAGTCTCCGCATTGATTTCGATCGAGTAGTTTGAAAGTATGTAGTTGAAATTGCCTTAAGCGTCACCTGCAGCATTTTATTTATATTTTTCAAAATTTTTACAACTTCGCTATTGGAAATAAAAATGTTCGAATTCCAAAAATACCTCAGTCAGTTTTCGAGCTTTGAGATTTAGAAGGCAAATAGTTAAGAAGTCGGAAAGGTGGCTTAAGATGCCTTAAACGAGCGATCCAAAAAATTTTCTAATTTCGGAACTCGAAATAAAAAATTTTCGAAAGCAAAATAAGTTTAAAAATTTTTAAAATTTATTAAACGACCACCACAGCAATTTGCTTATTATCATACAATATTTTCTAACTTTGAAATTCGAGTTAAAAAATTTTCAAATTCCAAAAAGACATTCCATCTTTGAGGATTACAAAGCAACTGCAGCCGTTTATTTATATTCATAAAAAATTTTCAAATTTCGGGATTCGAAGCAAAAAAATTTCGGAAGCAACAAATTAGTTTAAAAGCGACGGAAAATGCTTTAATCGACTTCCACAATAATTTATTTATTATCTAAAAATTTTTTCGAACTCGAAATTCGAATTAAAAAATTTTCGAGTTTGAAAAAAGTTTTTAAAAATGCCTGACGCATCTTAGAAGCAACTATTTACACTACATTTGACCAACCAAATTTTTCGAAATTCGAAAATTCAAAATTTAGAATTTTTACAGTCGACTTTTTTCTTTGGAACACATGAGTTTTGTCAACATTTTGTCACATTAAGAATTTCTTCACAAGTATAGTAGCATGCTGCCAATGAAAAATTTTCTAGCTACTGAAGAGTTTAAGTTCTCAAAAAATTTACTAAATAAAAACTTTTTTAAGTTAATCAGGCAGATTCTGTAATTCACTTCCGAGTAAATTTCAATCAAACTCGCTTTGAATTCAAATTGTCACGGGTTGAAATTCACTCGGCAGTGAGTTGCAGAACCTGCCTATGTATTACATTTTTTTGCTTAAACTCGAAAATTTTAATGCAATAAAGGCAACCTTGGCTTGTAGCACATGTATCAGTTTACGCTTCCAATTAAGAAATAATTGCCATAAATTCCAGATTTTTTTTTACGAGAAACTTAACGAATAAAAAATGCTAACTACAGCAGCGTAACTTAATTCCTTCCACATCACATAGAATTTACAAAATGAGTGCCGGATTAATGGCTGACGCCAGTAGAGCTACAAACACGTGCAGCTTAAACCCAAAGCTTTCAGCCACTTTAAAGTGCGGCCAAAGCCATCAAAAACAAAAAAAAATAAATACCAAAAAATATATACATACATATTTTAGGTTGAAACACTAAAAAGTAAAATAGTGAAATAGCAGCGGAGTAAAAAAACACCGTTCAATTGCCCAGCTGATGGATGCATGGGTAAGTGTATTTCGTTTTACATGACCAATAGCACGCTTTTAGGCGTCCAAGCGTTAAGTGCGCCATGCCAATATTCGGCAAATTGATGGTAATGGCGATGGCGCTGCTGATGGCATGGCGAAACAAAAAGGAAAACAAAAAAAATTGGTAAACAAACCAACGCAACAATAACAACTCACACTCAATTATCGTAAATGGCATGGCCACTAGGGTAGCGGAAGGTGCGCGAATAGCGCTCGACAGCCGGCTATTGGTGGCAGTTAGGAAAAGAGTTCGAGCGCAGAAGGGTCGCCTCAATGGACACTCATCTTGCTCGAGTGTAGTTTAAATTTTATTTTATTGCTGTGCGTTGTGACACGCCATAAGTGCTGTATTGATTTTATACCTTACTCTCGGCAACACCTAAAAGTATGCTACACGCTTGTCGAGTTTATTTGCTCAGAGGTGACTAAACCTGCTTCATTCATTTTATTTATTATTTTTTTTTTTCATTT